AAAAATAGGACCTACATCAACAAGTAGTTCAGAAATTACTTGTGGTAATGCAAATCAAGTGTCTACAAGAGTACCTGGCATATAGTATGTATTCCCTACATACATTTTATTTTTGCTCTTCCTTTTACTTTGCCTCCTGAGGAGCTGCTCCTTAAAATCACAAACTGAATATGGACAATAAATCAGCCTGGTCACTCACACATGCTTTATGCTAGAAATAACATGTAATTCTTGCCAAGCATGGTGGCTCATGCCCGTAATCCCAGCTACTCAGGAGGCCGAGGCAGGAGGATCACCTGAGGCCAGGAGTTCAAGACCAGTCTGGAACACAGCAAGAACTCTACCTCTAAAAAAATTGTTTTAATTACTAATTTTGCAATTTTTTTTTTTTTTTTTTTAGAGACAGGAGCTCACTCTGTCACTCAGGCTGGAGTGCAGTGGTGCAATCACAGCTCACTGCGGCCTCGACCTCCTGGGCTCAGGCGATCCTATTGCTTCAGCCCCCCAAGTAGCTGGGACCACAGGCATTCGCCTCCACGCCTGGCTAATTCTTGTATTTTTTGTAGAGACAGGGTTTTGCCATGGTGCCCAGGCTGGTCTGGGACTCCTGAACTCAGGCAATCTGCCTGTTTCAGCCTCCCAAAGTGCTGGGATTACAGGCATGAGCTACTATGCCCAGCCAAAAAAAAAAAAATTTTTAGTAAATAAAATAAAAATAATTCTTTATAGTCCTTTACGGGTTATTCTCTATAGTCCTTTCTTTCACAAGCACTCTTCAGAGGTAAGCAGAGGAGATAGTATTTCTCTTTTGTAGAAGAAGCTGAAACACTTAGAGTCTAATGACATGTCCAAGGTCAAGTAGGTATCTGTGTCTGAAGATGGAAACCCATAAAGGCTGTTGAACTCTTGTCTGCTGCTAATCCTGCTCACGAGTGGAAGACAGGGCTGCACACCGAGCAGAGGAACAAACAAAAGGTTCCCTTACCCCATCCTGCCTGCAACAAATGCTCCCAGTCATACTGATGGGACATATCTGAGGTTCACTAGAATGAAGGAAGGATGCCACATTGCCATTTACGGAAGTTGTTGCCTACTCTTAGCTAGATTGGGCAATCCTTTCCTCCCACGCTCACTGTAAAGGGCCGTGGGAATTTAATCTAATACAATGCTTACAGTAAAAAGCCTGACATAAGACAAGATGTGAAAAATGTTCCTGAAGGGCTAAAAGTAAATAATAATATAAGTAAGTTGAGTAATAATATAAGTAATCTCAACTATTGGGACTGTTAAGACTGATAGGTTGTTCATTTACATTCTTAATGAAAAAATGATAGGGTTGGATTAGATTATTTTAAAACTTATTTTTAGCTTAAAATTTCTGATTTTAATGCACCACTATTGAAGCTACTTTATTTCAGAGTTGAGAGTTTATCTCAGAATCCCAATTCCCAGCCCTATACTCACTCTAGTCCCTGTATCTCAGTTCTTGTTAATATTACATTCATTCACAGTTTGAGAGAAAAACCCTAAGGATGCCTTTAACATTTCTGCCTTCAAAAAATGCATCAGATGAAAGAGAAGTTAGTGAATGGCACTGATGTTATGGTTAATTGAAAGTTAAAGCCTGACAAATATTCTAACATGCTACACATATTTTCAGAACTATATATATGTAACTGGATGACCACAAAAAAATACTGAAACCCAGATTTGGGGAATGTTCCAACATCAGATAGTTTTCAAATTGCTATAATGAAAGCCCAGAGAATGAATATTTCCAAAATCACTCATCTTGGAAAGAGGTAAATCCTGGGGCAGGGAGTGCAAACGTCCTTGGATCAGACAAGTAAAGACCTCCCCTTCCCCTGAGTATGAAAGCCAAGAAAATTTGGGCTCAGAGGCATGAAAGGACTTAGACAGCTCACCTCTGTCACAAAAAAAAATCTCTATGTCAATGTGAAGATACTATGCTTGCACTGTTGGTGGTGGCATTGGCAGCAGCGCCAATAATAGTGCAGAGAGGACTGGGAGTGGTGGCTCACGCTTGTAAACCCAGTACTTTGGGAGCTCGAGGCGGGCAGATCACCTGAGGTCAGGAGTTCAAGACCAGCCTGGCCAACATGGTGAAACCTTGTATCTACTAAACATACAAAAAATTAGTTGGGCATGATGGTGGGCACCTATAATCCCAGCTACTTGTGAGACTGAGGCAGGAGAATTGCTTGAACCCAGGCAGCAGAGGTTGCAGTGAGCCAAGATTGCACCATCATACTCCAGCCTAGGCAACAAGAGCGAAACTCTATCTCAAACAAACAAACAAACAAACAAACAAAAAAGTGCAGAGAAATAGTCAAATTCTGGATGAGGGTCAGCATCACAAGCCTGTCCAGCTTCAAAAGTACACAGCTGAGCTCGAAATTGAAGGGGAACAGAACATAACACCCCAAAATACACCACTTTGATGTGTTGATTACTCTGACCTGAACATAACTGAGAAATTGCAGATGCAGGGGAGACTTCCTGCCCTCCCCATTTTTACATAAAAACAGGACATAACTTTCCCATGAGACAGGTGCCATTCCTGTACCAGGAATAAGAGAATATTTTTATCACTGGAGACAAGGAGTCAAAACAGACCTTACTTAACCCTTACCTTTCATTAATTTCCCCATATATTTCCCAGTCACTTTCCCACAATTTACTGCTCCTAGCTCAAATCCCTTTTTCCTTTTCTTGTGACATCTCCACAATTGATTGCTCTTTGTTAAAATGGTATGTAATCCTCTGGGTCTAACCGCCTCTTTGGGATCTTCCTGTCTTTCTAGGAAGCCTTTGTGCCACATAAAAATATTAACATCAAATAAAATTATTATGCTTTTTCTCCTGTTAATCTGTCTTTTGTCAGTTCAATTCACAGGCTCCAGTCTAAGAACCAAAGAGGGTAGAGGAAGAGTCTTTCTTCCCCTCTAAATTCAAGCCAGACATGAGGAGAGCCCTGTTTCCTCTCAAGGTGTGAGAGGAGCATCACCATCACTTGCTCTGTCTAGCTTGGTGGCCTCACAAGTATCATTAACCACAAAGACAGAAGCATAAGCAGCATGACAAGAAGGCAAGAGTAGAGGAACAGATGGCTTTGTTCTGTGCACTCATGAAGCACACAACAATAACCCTCAGAGAGAGGTGGGCTTGACTTTGGGCCCTTATGGCTCTGAACCTTGGGCTATAATAATTTGATTTAAAAAAACAGGACAGGCATGGTGGCTCACACCTGTAATCCCAGCATTTTGGGAGGCTCGGGCAGGTGGATCACCTGAGGTCAGAAGTTCAAGACCAACCTGGCCAACATAGTGAAACCCCATCTGTACTAAAAATACAAAAATTAGCTGGGCATGGTGGCACACACCTGTAATCCCAGCTACTTAGCAGGCTGAGGCAGGAGAATCACTTGAACCTGGGAAGCAAGGTTGCAGTGAGCTGAGATTGAACAAATGCACTCCAGCCGGGGTGACAGAGCAAGACTTCGTCTGAAAAAATAACAATAATAAAATAAAATAAACAAACATACATTGGGAAATATAACAATAAAGAGTAAAATTGACCATACAATATTTAAAATATTCACGTTAAATTTTAGATGCAAATAAACTTAACCATCTGGAGGCAGGAATGTACTAAAGTAGCCTTGAACAAAAAGCAGAACTACAACTAAACGTACAGAGGGGAAAAATATAGGTCATTTTACTACCAACTGGTGCCCATAAGATATAATATAAATTATTGTTTTAATTCCCTAATGAAATTATTTTAAAAACATCTAGCTTTTTGCTAAACTTAGATCACAAAAGCATATTCTGGTTTGCACGTCCTTGAAAGAAAGTACATTAGTTGGCTGGGCGCAAGGGCTCACGCCTGTAATCCCAGCACTTTGGGAGGCTGAGGCGGGTGGATCACAAGGTCAGGAGATCAAGACCATGCTGTGAATGGTAAAACCCCATCTCTACTAAAAATACAAAAAATTAGCCAGGCTTGGCACCGTGTGCCTGTAGTCCCAGCTGCCGGGGGTGCTGAGGCAGGAGAATGGCATGAACCCGGGAGGCGGAGCTTGCAGTGAGCCAAGATCGTACCACTGCACTCCAGCCTGGGTGACAGAGCGAGACTCCGTCTCAAAAAAAAAAAAAAGAAAGTACATTAGCCTTTGAGTTATCACCAGGAAAGAGCTTGAAGAGCCAAATAAGGTATCCTAGAACCCCAAATCACTCCCAGATTATCAATACATGGCAAAAAGGAAGGGAATGTATGGGCCTTACCAGACAGGAAATTGGGTAGTTCTATGGGGTCACCCATATAGGGAGACAGCTGACCACAAGGGATGAACTGCATGCAAATGTAGTAGAATAAAAGACAGCACAACAACAAAAACAATGATTTGGGATTTGTATGTAATATATGTTAATACCTAATATAAGGATGCTTGAACTTTTGAAAATTTCTGGGGTCCACAGTCTGTTGTTTCGTCACTGACATGGATGCTGATCAGTAGAAATAAAAGGCACATTTCTGGTGCCTTTTCTCATGTTCTCTTCTCCCTCTTCATATCTCTGCAAGAACTGTTTCTCAGCATGGGTGATGGCAGTTTAATCCCTTAAAGGCATTGTGAGTCAACTGGGATTGCAGAAATCACGGTGTCCATCACCCAGCCAAACTTCTCTCTGTAATTTTTGTTTGCCAAGAAGATGTGAGACTACTTGGAAAAAAGAAAGAGCAGATTATTAACAAAAATTAAGTGTAACTCAATATTATTGGCTCAAGCCAAAAACTCTGTTACAAAACTAAATTGGAAATCATAGTTTTGAAATAGAGTAATGGAGTTTTAAATAAAGAAGTACCTTGTTGATAAGCTAATTCAACTCCATCATTTTGCAGATAAGTAAATTGAGACTGAGAGACTGTCCCAGTGACACACAACCAGTGAGTGGCAAAGCTAGGATTAAAATTCAAGTCAGTGCTTTTCTTGGGCAATTGGGAAAACATTTAGATAAACAGCCTGCTAGGGGTTGTAATACATGAATTTATTACATAGTTTGAGGAACTAGAGATTTTTAACCTAGAAAGGGAAAGATTCAGGGACATGGTAGCTATTTTCAAATACTTGAAGGTAAAAAAGGCCTTGAACTTACTCTGTTAGCCAAAGGAGACTTTACCAGTTCAATATAAGATAAAACCTTTTAAACAGTCAAAATTGGTCAAAACCATTGGGGGGTGAGGGACAATGAGTTTTCTGTTACCTGAAGCATTTCAGAATAGACTGAAAAATAATTCAGAGAGTATGTTTTTGTCTACAGAAAGGGGTGATTTAAGGGGTGTATAGGAGAGAATTCAGGCATGAAAATCATTTGGATGGGGTGACCTGTAAGAGGATGTGATTCTTTATATCCAAATTCTGGATATATCCAAATAAGAGTTTCATTCTTGCCTCTAAACTCTAAAACCTATCTTCTCATCTGTTTGCAATAGTTTAAATTTTAATCTATTTCATATTTCAGGGTAGTATGCCCTGAATATGTGATTTGAATGCTGTGGCAGAAGGTCACTCATATTCATTCATTTTATTTTACTCTTATATACTTGCAGTGAGTCTTTTGAATTCATTATGCAAACACATGCAAATCATATGCAAATGATATAGCCTCAGAAAATGACAAAATCTGATGGCCTTAACTGAGCCATCAGACCTTTCTTTAAGAAGGAAAGTAATATGCCTTTCAACATCTCTGGGGCAGGAGATAATTTCCTGAGAGTGATATTTACATGACATCAGAATTCGTTACTCAATCTTTGCCTCACATTCTGCATGTTTATGTGGGACTTTAAGGTAAGGAAAGCATTTTCACATACATGATCCTATTTGATCCTCATAATTACCCTGTGATGTAAGCAGAACAGGAATTATAATTCTTGTTTTTCAGATGGGAAAACAGAGAAGTGAAATGACTTGCCCAAGGTCACTCAGTTGGTAAGCAAGGATCTGCGGTCTAGCACTAGACCCTTCCCAGTCCTCAGCTCTTCCCATTGCACACTGATGGATGTCTTATTTGAAGCAAGGTGGTCTGTCATTGGTCTCGGTTTGCTTAAGACTGTGTCTTGCTGATAGCATCTTCAGAGATGATTTTGTTGATGAAGATGGCATTTTAAGGGTGACCAGGGAAAGCCCAAATATGCGTAGCAGGCCTAGCAGAGTGCCAAGTACATATTTCCTCCAATCCCCTCTGCTTTTTAGCATCTTCTCTGAAATCTCCAGATGAACAACATTCTTCCCCTCATCTACTCTTCAGCTCCTTCAGGAGGCAAAGTCCGTTCTTAAACCATGAAGAGTGGTAGCACACAATCTCTGCAGTGAGATTTTCTGGATCTGAAGCCCTAATCCACCACTCTCTAATTGTGTGACTTGGAGAGATCATTTAATTTCTCTTAAGCATCAGTTTCTATATCTATAAAATGAGGGAAATAATAACATCTCTTTTATAGAACATGTGGAAACAGTCAAGGATAGGAAAATGCAGCAAAAAAAAAAAAAATTAAACCTGACCCAGTATATGACACACAGTAAGGGCTCAATAAATGGCAGATACTATAGTCATTTGCTTCATCATAGTAATACAGTAGAGGTGGTGGTGGTGGTAGTAATAGTAGTAGTAATAGTAGTAGTAATAGTAGTAGTAGTCGTCGTCGTCGTCGTCGTCGTCGTCGTCAAGTCATTGTGAACTCTGATACTAAGAACTGGGCTCTTGGATATGGAGTGGAAGAACAGCAACACCAAATATATCCTGCATACCAGAGGGCTGAAGAACAGACAGAACAGGTAGCTAAATGCAGCCTATTGAGGAATGTTTGAACTTTGGCTTTCTTTAATCATTGCCACATCTTGCTCCATAATAAGGGTAATTGCAATCCTGCTTCAAAGCTATTTCTAAGAATAGGGCCAAGGCTGGCATCCCTAACTCTGCCCTCCTTTAGCCAGGCTGCTCTATCTATGGCAGTGTCCCCTACTTCCCCAGACCAGGTTAGGAGGGAACAAGAGAGGAGTTCACCCCAACTGCTTTAACAAGTCTGAACCGCCAGGTCAAGAGATGAAGTAATATTCCTCCTATACAAAGACCAGAGGTGGGGATGGACAAGGTGGCCAAGGCAGCAGCTGAGGCTCAAGGAACAGATATACTCTCAAGCCTGCTCCCTCCTGCTCCAGTTCCCAGCTCAGCAGGTGCCACTGAAGGGCTCATTTCTTCAACCTGCCCCCACAGAGTGCTCTGCCTTTCCATGTTCTCTGACACCTCTTCTATTCACTCACCTAGGACAACTGAGAAAGTGGCCTCCTTGGTGAGAAGAGCTTCCACAGCCTCTCTCAGGGAAAAGGACCAGAAGCTGTTGGAGTTGGCCGAATACTTGAAGTTGGCATAAAGTCAATTGGAACCATCACAACGAAAGTCTGTGTGATCAGCCCAAAAGGACTGCACAACTGATTCACGTTCAGTGCCAGGAAATGCAATGGGCCATTCTGGGGCTGGGTCCTCAGTTATTTTTGGCAAAGATGGGTGGTATGCAAAAGGGACTTCCTTTTTTTTTCAGCACAGAGCCACAGAATGCTGACCAGTCAACAGCATTTCTTGTTCTAAGATCACCCTTCTGAGTACCTCTCTGGCTGCCAAATTGCCAGGGCCTTCATAGTTTGATTCCATTTCTCAGCTCCTAGCATTGGGTAAACCCACCAAGCTAGGATTGCACCAGTCCTGTGATGGCGTTTGACGTCAGCTGCTTCTTTTGGGTAGTGCTGTTTTCTGCCGGCTGTAAAGTCATCACCTCCTTGGATCAGATGTGCATTGAGGTGAGTCCAAACTGTTTGTCTTCATGCAGATTAAACTGAAAATTTTGAGATTTAGCATGCAGTTCAATCTGAACCTTGGCATCCCAATACCCAGGGTCTTTAAAAAGGAAATGAGGTATATATATAATTTTTTCATTATTGTGAGAAAGGTGCCAAAGAACTCAGTCAGGGGATCATCTGGTGGCATCTTAATAGGAAGCAATGAGAATTTTTCTCCTCTTCAAACAATTCCACCCAAATAATCCCAAGTGGGTCATAAGATATTAATAGGGTCTCTGTGCACAAAGCAGACCCTAAACCTGCCTCAGCCTTGGGGAGTTGTTGGTTTAACATCCCCACGCTCACATGGCCACTATCCCAATGAGTCTTTTGGTCTCCTGGCTCTCAGGGTGAGAATTAGTAAAGACAGGCCTGTGCCAGGTTTTTGAGCATTGAAAAGATCACTCTGAATGAGTCTGGCTTTCTCCTCGACTTGGACAGCCCTCCATCTGTTTTACTAACCCACAGGAGGAAAATCTGAGAATAGAGCCAAATTGCACCTTCTGTTTTGGACCACAGCAATATTTATCAACCTGTGGGAAGTTCTTGGAGGGGGTGGTGAGAGAGAAAGGAGAAGGACCTCCGTCTCTTGCCATCCTCTGAAATTCTTCAAACTTCCTCCCGCTTTCTCTGACCCCACAAGTGTCCAATACCACATGGTCTGTCAGACAAGGGCTACATACACGAGGGACCGTGAGTCTTGGTGGCTTGGTGAGCTGCTGGTCTGGGTTGAGGTTAAAAGAAGAGTAAGAGCCATGGTCGGGCGTGGTGGCTCAGCCCTGTAATCCCAGCACTTTGGGAGTCTGAGTGGGGTGGATCACGAGGTCAAGAGATCAAGACCATCCTGGCTAACACGGTGAAACGCCGTCTCTACTAAAAACACAAAAAATTAGCCGGGCGTGGTGGCGGGCGCCTGTGGCTCGCAGTGAGCTGAGATTGCGCCACAGCACTCCAGCTTGGGTGACAAAGCGAGACTCCGTCTAAAAAAAAAGAAGAATAAGAGAGCCAGGAGTAGCCAGATGTGGAGGTGCCCTGGGGCAGGACTAGAAGGAGGTCAGAGGATCAGAAGAGCAGAGCAAAGCCAGCGCTGGGGTAAGGCTCAAGCTGGGTGAGCAGAGCATTGTTAGTCTGGCATTAGGATGGAATTAGCAGCAGGCCAAGAGGAGGCATCATGCCCACGAGAAACGAAGGCTGGGAAGGTGCGTGTTGGTTAGATCGGGCTGTCATAACAAATGCCACAGACTGGGCAGGGTGTGGTGGCTCACGCCTATAATCCCAGCACTCTGGGAGGCCAAGGTTGGTGGATGCCTTGAAACTGGGAGTTCAAGACCAGCCTGGGCAACATGGCAAAACCCCATCTGTACTAAAAATACAAATATTAGCTGGGCCTGGTGGCAGATGCCTGTAATCCCAACAACGTGGGAGGCTGAGGCAGGAGAATCACTCAAACCCGGGAGGCAGAGGTTGCAGTGAGCCATGATTGTGCCACTGCACTCCAGCCTGAGTCACAGAGCAAGACTCTGTCTCAAAACAAACAAATACAACAAAAAACAAAAACAAACCAAAAAAACCCGAATACCATAGACTGAGTGACTTAAACCGGAGAAACTGATTATCTCACAGTTCTGGAGGCTGGAATTTCAAGATCAAGGTGTTGGCAGAGTTTGCTTCTTCTGCACCCTTGCTCCCTGGCATGCAGATGGCCATCTCCTCTCTTTGTCCTCTCATGGCCTTTCCTGTGTGCATGAGCGTCCCTGGTGTCTTTTTGTTTGTCCAAATTTCCTCATCTTTTAAGGTCTCCAGTCAGATTGGATCAGGGCCCATCTACATGACCTCAGCTTCCCTTAATGACCTCTTTAAAGGCCATGTCTCTAAATACAGTCACATTCTGAGGTCCTGGAGGTCAGGATTTCAACATGAATTTGGTGGTGGGGGAGAGAAAATTCAGCTCATAACAGAAGGGGAAGAGTAAGACGTTTCTATCAGCCCCAGAAGGCTGTCCCCTCATCTTTCAGGTTGGAAGGTCTGTAATTGCCGATGAGTTCTTCCTGCCCACTGCACAGACAAAATCAATCCACTGAGACTATGGCACTGAAGTAAAGAAAGTTTAATTGATGCCAGACTGGCCATGCCAGGTGGGAGACAGAGCTATTACTCAAATCAATCACTCCAAAGTTTTGGAGATTAGGAGTTTCAAGGATAGTTTGGTGGGCAGGGCACACGGGAATGGCAAATGTTGACTGGTTGGGGAAGAAGTCATAAGGTTTTGGAAAACGGTCCTCAGTTCCGAGTCCACCTCTGGGTGACGCCACAGGATGGGTTGGGTCAGAAGTCTGGGTGGGGTTAGTCTGAAAGATATCTCAAAAAAAGTCTTAGATTCTATAATAGTGATGTTATCTATAGGAGTAATTGGGGAAGTCACAAATCTCGTGATCTTTGGCCACATGACTCCTGCACAGTAAGGAGTAACTATGCCAACACCTTAGGCAAATTCAAGCCCCTCTCAAAATCCTAACCTTTCTTTAGCTTTAAAAATGTGCTTTTGTTTTAAGAAGGGTTATTATCATCCTTGCTTTAAGGTTAAACTATAAACTAAATTTGTCCCAAATTCAGCTTGGTCTATACCCAGGAATGACCAAGGAGAAATTGGAGGTTAGAAGAAAGATGGAGTCACCTATGTCATATTTCTCTTGCTGTCATAATTTTGCAAAGGTGGTTTCAGGTCAATGTCATACAGACCTTTGGGAGGCATGACAAGTGGGTAGGAATGAGGACACCATCTCCTCAGTGATCAGGAACACAGGTTATCACTTCCAGGCAACAGCCTCCGATAGGATAATATCACCATTTATTTTCAACTCATTGGGAAGCAGGCTCTTTTAAATGCCCCACTCTTACATACCTATACGTTTAACTCTGAAATCCTTGCATCAGGGGAAGGCCCCCGAGTCCTTTGGCTGCCTGTTCTGGGGCCTTCAGTGCTATTCATGTCTCAGGAGTGGTGCTCAGGGTTCTAGGGCCTGCAAGCCTAGCCCTGTGTGGCAGCAAAGTCTTTCCTTTTTGGATAAGCCAGATGAAACTGAAACCTTCCAATACAACAACCTTCCTGCAGCCCTCCCTCTGAAAGAAGTCTGATTTTAAATGACTTTGTGAACTATTCAGTTAGGATCAGATCTGTATTTTCTTTTGTTTCATCTATCATGTGTGAGTTCTCAAGAACAAGACTCTAAGGCTGTTTAGGAAGCTCTTGCTACTGTGTGGATACCAAGGAGGGAGCTGGGGGATGCAAAGACACATGGAACTTATTCCTGAGAGTCTGGAACTTTCCAGGCTGCTGGCAAGGGATAAAAGGAGGGCTGGCTAAAAGAATAAACGCTTGCCTTTGACTTAAGGGTTTGGCCATTTTTCAAACGTAAATTACCCCAACTTTACTCACCCTTCCCAGCTGCTTTTGTTTCCTCTTTTCTTCTTCCCCCTTCAGGTCATGCATTGTTAACCACACAGCCTCTGCATGTTCACGTGACCACCATTACCCTATTAAGCCTGTGAACAAAAGTTCTCTGAAGAGGAATCTGAGGAACGAGACTTTATTCCATTGAACAGTTCGCAAACTGGAGAGACACGGCCTTTGACACGTAGCTTTTGCATGGTGCATTCCAGAGAACAAATGAGGAACTTGGCTTCCATAGAGAGAAATTTGCCACTCAGGTTCCCAGTCAGATTCATTTATGCAGCCGAAGGATTCAAACTTGCTTAGTTCTGATCTGATGGTGCAGCTGGGTCCTGACTGGTTGATAAAGCTGAGCCCTGATTGGTTGGTTCAGATGAGATCTGAACGTTCCAAAATTAAACAGAGATGGAAATTTTCAGAAATTCAGAGTACATGTGTGACCTCTAGTCAGCAAGTGGCTTCTTGGCTCTATTTAAAATTTAAGCCCAGTTCGCCACTTGGGATCTGATATAGTTTGGATCTGTGTCCCTGCCCAGATCTCATGTTGAACTGTAATCCCCAGTGGTGGAGGTAGGGCCCGGTGGGAGGCGTGTGGGGGCAGCTCCGTCACAGCTTGGTGCTTTCTTGGTGATAATGAGTTCTCCTGAGATATGGTCATTGAAAAGAGTGACACCTCCCCTGTCATTCTCTTTCTCCTGCTTTCACCATGCAGCGTGCCTGCTCCACCTCCGCCTTCTGCTATGATTGTAAGTATCTCAAATCCTCCCCAGAAGCCAAGCAGATACCAGCACCGTGCTTCCTGTAGAGCCTGCAGAACAGTGAGCCAATTTAGACCTGTTTTCTTTATAAATTACGCAGTACCAGGTATTTTTTCTTCCTGTCTTTTTTAAATTTTTATTTATTTTTTCATTTTTTTTTTTTTTAATTTTTTTAGACGGAGTCTTACTCTGTCGCCCAGGCTGGAGTGCAGTGGCCCGATCTCGGCTCACCGCAAGCTCCGCCTCCCGGGTTCATGCCATTCTCCTGCCTCAGCCTCCCGAGCAGCTGGAACTGCAGGCACCCACCACCAGCCGGGCTAATTTTTTGTAGTTTTAGTAGGGACGGGGTTTCACCGTGTCAGCCAGGGTGGTCTCGATTTCCTGACCTCGTGATCTGCCTGCCTTGGCCTCCCAAAGTGCTGGGATTACAGGCGTGAGCCACCGCGCCCGGCCAATGCTGGGTATTTCTTTTATAACAATGCAAGAAAGGCCTAACAAAGGGTTCAGTCTGAAGGATTGGCTGGCTCTTTCAGTTCACACTTGTTTATAAGCCCTAGCCTAAAAATAGTTTTTGTCTGGCTTTGTTGTGAGCTTAATAAACTTTTTGTTGAAGTAAAACATACATATAGAAAAGTTCACAAGTCATAGGTGTGCAGTTAAACGAGTTTTCACCACGTGAGCACATCCATGTAACTAGCACACAGATCAAGATGTAGAACATTCTCAGCACCTCAGAAGCCCTCCTCATCTCA